ACCCATGTAAAGATCAATCATGAACATACAATGATGAATATGGGACATGCCATTAAAAATATGGAACGTGCAATGATTAATATAGCAGATACAATGATAAATATGGTACATACACTAATGAATCATGAACATACAAAGATTAATATGGTATATGCACTGATGAATATAGAACAGGGGTCTCCAAACTTTCTAAACAAAGTTTAAAAAATGCAATTTACAGTTGTTCAGACTTTAGGGGGGCCAGACTGTGGTCAGTGGGAGTAAACATTTGTCCTGGCATTAGTGGGAGTAAATGGTGTTCCATTTTTAGTATTAGGGGGAGGAATAGTGCCCCATCTTTGGCATCAGTTCACTGAATAGTGCACAATCAATGGTGTCAGTGGGAGAAATAGTGCCCCATCTTTAGCATCAGCTCAATGTATAGTGCACAAGCAATGGTGTCAGTGGAAGGAATAGTGCCCCATTTATGGTAATAGTGAAAGGAATAGTGCCCCATTATTGGTGTCAGTGGGGAAATAGTGCCCCATTATTGGTGTCAGTGGGAGGAATAGTGTCCCATTATTGGTGTCAGTGGGAGGAATAGTGTCCCATTATTGTTGTCAGTGAAAGGAATAGTGCCCTATCATTGGAGTCAGTTAAGAAATAGTGCCCCATCATTGGTGTCAGTGAAGTAATAGTGCCCCATCGTTGGTGTCAGTGCAGGATTTGTTGCTCTGCTTTTGGTGTTAGTTGGAGGAATAGGGACTCATATCAGTGGTGCCTGAAGGGCCAGATAAAAGTAAGCAAAGGACCGCAGTTTGGAGACCACTGATAAAGAATAGTGATAAATATGGTACATGCACCGATGAATATAGAACATATAATGATGAAGATGCAACATGCAAATATGAATATAGAACTTACAATGATAAATATGCTACATGCACTGATGTATCATGAGCATACAAAGATGAATATAGTGCATGCACTGAGGAATTATGAACATACATTGATAAAAACGGTACATGCACAGAGGAATCATGAATGTGCAATGATAAATATTGTACATGCACTGATGAATATAGAACATACAAAGATGAATAGGGTACATGCACTGATGAAGATAGAACATACAACAAAAATCTGTACATGCAGTGATGAATATAGAGCATACAGTGAAATCTGTACATGCACTGATGAATATAGAACATGCAATGAAAATCTGTACATGCACTGATGAAGATAGAACATACAATGAAAATCTGTACATGCAGTGATGAATATAGACTATACAATGAAAATCATGCAGTGATAAAGTATGAGCATGCACTGATATATGAGACACATGCAATGATGAATATGAAACATACAATAATGTATATGTAACATGCAATAATACTTGAAACATGCAATGATGAATATGGGACATACAATAATGAATGAGCAACATACTGTACAATAATATCTGATACACATGTAGTAATGTATATGGTGCATATAGTGATGAATTGGGAACAGACAATAATAAATGATCCATGCAATAATGAATATAGAACATACAATGATCTCTGAGACACACACATTATATTTGAGATACAAGCAAAGATATGTGAGAAAGAAGCATTATATCTGAGCCACATGCAATGATACATCAACACATGCATTACTATCTATTAATAACCAATCCGGACCATGCAATAATACCCAAGACACATGCAATCATATCTGTGCCCCATGCCATATTATCTGTAGTGACCAAGGATCAGGACCGTGTAATAATACCGGAGACCTTTGCAATGATCAGTGCGGAACATACAATGATATGACATAGTCACACACATATGATATCTGATCGATCAGAGCATGTCATATTATCCTAGATCCATCCAGTGATCTCTGTGCAAACATACAGATGACAATGAGTGGGGTGTATACATCCGATTATCATCTCACCCATCCGAAGCGATCAGTACCGATCCTGATCAGATCCGTTCCAAATAATCTCTCATGACCCCAGTAATACAGTAGATCTGTGTAGAGATATATTTCTCTATCTCTAGAGTTATATCTTTCTATTTGCTGTTTGCTTTAAAAACTGGATGGGATTGTATGAAATATTTTGAAAAATCCAGATGAAATAGTAGTAGTATACAAATAAATAGTAAATAACAACATAAATAATAATAGTCAAAAATAATAAACAACAAATAATAATACTATAGTACACATAATTGTTTCCATCCTTTAATGGACATATTTCAGAACTGAAAGGGTTAATAATTAACCCTTTCAAGAACCCAGGGGAGGACTGACAACTCATGGGGCCCCCAGGGGATCATGGGGCCCCTTTGTCCTTGCCCAAACTCATAAAAGCCTATAAAAAAAGGTACCAGGGGCATCTCATTGGGCCCCCTACTGACCTCGGGCCCTCAGGCAGTGCCCGAGTTTCCAAATGGTCAGTCTGACCCTGCAAGAACCTCTTGCCATGTTTTTGAAGATCAGCTCTAATTTTTGACAATGGTGTGGATCCTCTGTGTTACCCTCTGTATCTCGAGACTTTCTATACATGACATTCCTCCCAGCCATCCTGGATCGGGGTATTATGCTCTAATATTTGGGACGCAGACGGTTATTAGCAGCGATGAATATGACGCATCCAGGAGAGTGTGAACAGTCTGATCGGAGATTATTTCTGCTTTTTACAAAGGTGACAAATCTGACGGAGGTGACGACAAGATGTATACAGTGTGATGAGAGTCAGAATTGATTTCTGGGCAGTAAAAGGAATATTCCACACCTCGGCAGTGCAGGTGTCACTTTCAGGGTCCAGGGGGCGGGGTCACATCCTCACGGCGCCAGAAGCATCAGCCTAGTCCGAACACCCGCCCTTCACACCTTTCCAAGGCAGCCCCCGCTCGCTGATTGGCCGTCCGTGTGGTTATAGACGGTAGGGGGTGTCCTCGGGGCAGACAGGAGTCCCAGCAGAGCGAGCTGAGCACAGCGATCATCTTCTCTAGACATGAGCAGCCCTGACGGTGGATACGCCAGTGACGACCAGATCCAAGGAAAGAGCTCCGTGCTGCCAATGATGATGCCCGGCCTGGGTCAGTGCCAGTGGACGGATACCATGGAGGCCAAAGTCAAGTGCGAACCGGGATCTGCCAGCAGCAGCAGGGGCAAAGCCGAGACTCGGATCCGCCGTCCGATGAATGCCTTCATGGTGTGGGCGAAAGATGAGCGAAAGAGACTGGCCCAACAGAACCCGGACCTGCACAATGCCGAACTCAGCAAAATGCTCGGTAAGACAACTCCCTGCTACACCTCAGGAGCTTTCTTTTACTATCAAAACTCTACATTTGTAAATGATTGCTTCTCATAAATGAATGCATTATGATTACTTGTCATTATTAATGCTAATCACATATTAAACTATGATCAATGCTTATCATACACGTAAATCTAATGATGACATTGGTTCTTGTTCAGGACCTTTAAATTCCAGTCCCTACACTTCTATAGGTTTAGGTTCATTCCAATGACACTTCTATTTCTTTTTTGTTACAATATATTGTTGCGCTGTAGTTCCCATTACTTAGATTTTTAATGGCAGTATGCATAGTGATCATTTTGTTATAATTTAATATATTGCAAACTATTAATCCTTAGTAGTTTGGATGTGAGATACTTTCGAAGATAAGAGCGTGCCCCGCATGATAGGTTTAAACAATTCGATACAATTTTGTTAAAATTCTCAAAGTTATGCTTTATTATATATTACTATAGTAGTAGTTTGGCCGTGAGATGTCAAAAGATGGTGTTAAGTTATTTTTAAATCTGTAAAGTAATTTCTCTAGACATAGAGCTGCTCATACTAGGCAGTTATAATATTAACAAGATCACTACTTGATCAGTATTAGGCGCTAATAAAAGTCTTCATATCATAAAGATTGTAATAATTATTAGTTTGCAAGGTTATTTTAAAAACCTTTGGAATTCTTTTCTTTATTCTCTATTCCAGTATTATGTATTAAGCTGCACATACAATGCAGTTATAATGTTACCAAGATGACTACATATACATTTTCTATAAGCAGTATTACACACATATAGAGTACTTGTACATAAAGATTGTAATTAAAAAAACAAAAACCTACATTTGTAGTAAATAAATAATTTTGTTCCCAAGGGAATACTTTATGGTAACTTTATACTAATAATTATACTGTTTATGTAGTTTATTCTGATTACATTGCACAGGATATTTAGAAAAAAAAAAAACCTTTGCAGCCTATTATTGGAATTATTTTTCTAATAATCATTAATTTATAATTAATTTATAGTTTTTAATTCCTAATTCTCTAATCCAGGGGCTGGCTGTGTATTGAAATAGAATAAGAATTGGTATGTTATGATATGTACTGGGTTGTTCTGCTCTATACTTAATATTACTACGTTTTTGTTGAAAAATATACTACATTTATACCGGTATATAGGATATAAAACAAAACTGAATAATACTATAATACTACTATACATTGTTAAAAATATACTTTATATATAAGGTATAAAAAACTGGAAATAATTGTTTTCTGCTAATATATATATATATATATATATATATATATATATATGATATAAAAAAACTGGGGGTTATTTACTAAATCTGGAGAGGTATGCAATTAGTTTTTTTTTTCTTTTGTCAAAGCATAATTGAACAAGTAGAAGTTAGAAGCTGATTGGCAACCATGCCATCAGCTGGACCAGATTCTGAGTTTACCAGTTTAGTTTAAAAAAACCCTGAATATTACTGATTGGTTTCTGTTAAAATATGTATATGTATATATATATATATATATATATATATATATATATATATATATATAAAATTAAAAAAAAAACTAAAGTGAATAATATTAAATTGTACTGTAAATGGGGCTCTTAATCACCAAAGTATTAGCCCACTTTATGTGATGATATGTGCTGTTCTCATCATCATGCTGATCGGTTTCTTTTGATTTGCAGGGAAGTCCTGGAAGTCTCTGACCCTGGCAGAGAAGCGTCCATTTGTGGAAGAAGCAGAGAGACTGAGGGTACAGCACATGCAGGACCACCCCAATTACAAGTACAGACCAAGGAGGAGGAAACAGGTGAAGAGGATGAAGAGGGCAGACAATGGATTCATGCACATGTCAGAGCAGGCTGACCCAGTAGTCCTGGGTACTGATGGGAGGATGTGTGTGGACAGCTTTAATCTGAGCTACCCGGAACCACCCTATCACCACCACCACCATGCTCAGCATCCTCAGAGCAGCCACTATAGGGAGTCTCAGGTAATGGGTGCCAATTATGATGGCTACAACTTGCCCACCCCTGAGACTTCTCCCCTGGACATGGCAGAAAATGACTCTGTGTTCTTCACCTCTTCAGTCCAGGAGGAATGCCAGGTAATGCCTTACAGCTACAGTGCTGCATACCCTTCCCACCAGCAAAGTTCTGCCAACAGCATACTTGCCAGGCAGATGGCACAGACTGAGCAAATGGGGCAAGGCAGCCCTGTGCAGAGCATGATGGGATGCCAGAGCCCACCACAAATGTATTACGGCCAAATGTACATTCCCAGTACTGGAAGACATAATGCCGTGGCACAAAGTGGGCAGCCATCCCCTCCTCCAGAATCCCAGCAGATGGCCAGAGCAGAGCAGGTGCAGCCACCTGAAATGATGGCTGAGGTGGACAGGACTGAGTTTGAGCAGTATCTGAGTTATGTGCCAAAGGCAGACATAGGCGTGCATTACCATGGACAGGAGCAGCCTGGGATCAATTCAGAGAATGGCCTGATATCCTCTGTCCTGTCTGATGCCAGCACTGCTGTCTACTACTGCAATTATTCCAATGTATGAGATACACTCCACATTTATCTGCTGCAACAGTGTCATCAAAATGATTTCCAGCTGAGGAATCATATGCCATTCAAGTCGTTTCAGACTTTGGACTGTTTAGGAAAAACTATAAATACCATGTAGCGATTAATTTATGTAAATTATTACATATGAACTGCTATGTCTTTACCAGTAGAACTCATTGAGATCAAATTACATTTGATCTTCAGTCTTCATTGAATGCAATGCAACCTAATTTCATTATTGTGTACATGTACACATACCTTTGTATAAAGCGATGATTTGTTTTTTATATACAAGACAGATTTTTTTTTATGATTTTATTTTGCACTTTTACAAATAAAAGATTTAATATGACCAGTCTTGTCATGATTTGCCTTTCTCCTAAATTAACTAAGATTGCATTTTTACTGTTAGAATAATAATTATACAGGATTTATATAGCACCAACAGTTTGCACACCTCTTTAAAGAATAAAGGGAGACGGTACTGTTACAATACAATTCAAATCCCTTCTAAAGGGAAGGGATTTCCCAGTTATAGTTACAATTTTCTGTTTTGTTCTATCTATGGAAAAACACTGAACTAGAAATGGTGGTAAAGTCTTCAAAATGTTCTAAATAATTGCTAGTTCAGATTTCTTAAAGATACAGGGTCTGACAAGTGAAATTTGATTGGTAACTCTAGGTCTTTATAGTTCTCAATGTATAATTGCTCTCTGCATTGTATTTTTAATTTGTAATAATTACTGGGACACAGGCTGGGGGTATTTAAGTCTAATTTTATGCTTTTTTTTTTTATGCTTCCAGAACTTAGGCTTTCCTTTTCTGGTGTCTTGTATATCTTTAAAATGTCAAGTATTTGTTTAAAAATGTTTATTGCACTATACAGTTTTAAAAATTCATTCATGTGTGTACTGTAAGTTTGATACAATGTATTTCGGCATCATCTCCCAAAGATTGCTACAGATGACCTGAATTACATATAAAACACTGATTTCATAGGTACTGTTAGACCAGTAATTGGTTAACTTTCTCAATGGTGATCTCTTTCTTGGGAACAGCTGTTTGTCCCCCCTGTTATTTTGGATTATGTTAATATTACAAGGACAGCAATGCGAACATACATCAATCATACATGCTACTTGTGTTCATTCTTCATACATGTCATTTAGCAGATAATGGGACTAAAATAATGTTGTGCTGTGTCCCCATATAGGGCTAGCAGAGGTAAGCCATTGAATCTATGGCTCATTACAAGTTACAGCAAACCCAGCAACTGGATTTCAGGGATGACATTAACCACTTGCACTTTCTTTTGGTGATATTTGATTGCCTATGCATTTTTTATTTTTTGCACTGACAATTTTGAGAAAAAAAACAATATTTTTGACTTTTTGCTATTAAACATGTCCAGTCAAAAAAAATTAAATCAAATTTCATCATAATTTTAGCCAAAATGTGTTCTGCTACATGCCTTCTCTAAAAAAAAAATCCTAATGCATGTAAATTAATTGGTTTATGTGAAAGTTATAGCATTAACAAATGGCAATATATAATACTGGGCTTTTTTTTTTCAATTTTTACTAGTAATGGTGGTGATCAGCAACTTATAGCGGGACTGCGGCAGGCATCCTGACACTGGGAGGAACTGACTTGGTGTCACTGACATCCCCAGTGACACCAATACAATGATCAGTGTTAATAAAAAGCACTGACACTGTACTAATGGCACTGGGCATGAAGGGGTTATCTCTCTGAACAGCAGAGATACAAAACAGCATGTCTCCCTAGTAAAACACAGCACACAGAAAAAAAACACATAGCACACAGTTAACCCTTTGATGGCCCCAGATATTAACCCCTTCCTGCCCAGTATCATTAGTACAGTGTCAGTGCTTTTTATTAGCACTGATCACTGTATTAGTGTCACTGGGGATGTCAGTGGCAGTTAGTTCCCACCCAGTGTCAGAATGCCGGTCGCAGTCCTGAAATAAGGTGCTGATCGCTGTCATTACCAGTATAAAAAAATATAAATAAATATTCCAGTATATATACCACCATTTGTGGATGCTATAACTTTCTTGTAAAGAAAGACATGTAGCAGAATGTATTTTGGCCTAAAGTTATGAATAAATTAGATTTTTTGATTGGATATGTTTATAGTAGAAAGTTTCAAAATTGTTGGTCTTTTTGTGTTTACAGTGCAAAAAATAATGATCAAATACCATCAAAAGAAAGCTCTATTTGTGGGAAAAAGGACATACATTTCATTTATGTACAGCATAGCATGACCGCACAATTGTCAGTTAAAGTAACGTATATAAAAAAATGTCCTGATCAGGAAGGGAAGGTAAATCTTGGTTTGCCTTTAGTTCTACTTTAACCTTTAACTTAATCGGGAAGTAAAGACTAATATACAGTAAAGCTGGGTACACACAGGTTGAAAATCATCCAAAAAAATGGTCGGTTTGGCAGGAACCAGATGACTTTCGCCCCATGATTACAGCTGTGTCTTCTCTACAGGAGCAGCTCCTACAAACAAACTGTCGAACAGGCATGCTGGAAAACCAGCATCCCATCAGTGCTGGCAGCCACTGATCAGTGTGTTTTGGTGGGAATGGGCAGTTCCCTTGTCAGCACACAAAGGCACAGTGTGGGAGATCACCACACTAACATAGCTTGTGTTAAGTTTTTTTTGTTCAGCCTGCTGGGTTGAATGAAAATGGATGTATAGTGTGTACCCAGCTCATCTACTTATAAACCTACTGTACCTCCCCTCCTACCTATGCTGCATACTGTTTGTAAAAGAGGTCAATGGAAATGCCTTTTTTTAATCTGCTCCTGTGTGATCACATGATCTAGAAGCTGTGGATCCTTTTGAGCAAGTCGAGGTTCACACCTAAGCATTTTCTGCAGCATTTTGCAGAAACGCACTACAGTCCATTTAACATGATTTCTTATGGGACAAGTTCACATCTGGTGTGTTTTTTGGAAATGGTCAGGGACTTTTTTAAAGCAAAAAGTTGCATTTTTGGTTCTATAAACTTCAATGGAGACGCTGCAGAAAAGCATGTAGTGCGTTTTGCTGTGTTTTTGATGTGTTTTGTGTTTTAATCTGCCTAACAACAAGAAAAAAATGCAAAAGCATCAAAAACATGGCAAAAAACGCATATGCAAAATGCACCGCAAAAAGCACTGCAGAAATAGATCAAACGCAAACTGCAAAGGGGTGAACTTAGCCTAAGTCTAGGTTCATGCCGAAGCGTTTTCCGCAGTACTTTGCGTTTTGCAGAAATGCACTATAGTCCATTTAACATGATTTCTTATGGGACAAGTTCACATCTACACGTTTTCATGCGGTGCATTTTTTGGAAAGGGTCAGGGACTTTTTTAAATGCAAAATGTTGCATTTTTTGTTCCATAGACTTCAATGGAGACGTTGCAGAAAATAATGTAGTGCGTTTTTGCTGCATTTTATGTTTTATTCTGCCTAGCAACAAGAACAAAAAAAGCAAAATGTGGCAAAAACACATGTGCAAAAACGCAAAACACACTGCAAAAAGCACTGCAGAAAAGGATCAAACACAAACTGCATAGGTGTGAACCTAACCTCAGGGAGTGCCCAACAATGGGACTGAATTCACGGAACCATGATTTCACCCACCAGCTTCCATTGCTTCCAAAGTGGTTCAATAAAAAAATAAAAAGATGCAGTATTTCCACTGATCTCTTTTATAAAGAGTATGCAGCACACAAATGAGGAGAAGGAATGCAATGTTTTTAGGCAGACTTATATTAGCCTACACTAACTGAAGCCAAAACTTTATTTAGGGATTAAAACACTTATTTTATATGCTGTCTGTGTCCCCATTAGGGTTATTCATCCCAGGGGCAGACTGACCATTTGGAAACTCGGGCACTGCCCGAGGGCCTGGGGTCAGTAGGGGGCCCCATGAGATGCCCCTGGTACCTTTTTCATAGGCTTTTTTTGAGTTTGGGCAAGGACACAGGGGCCCCATGATCCCCTATTGCCTGGGGGCCCCATGAGTTGTCAGTCCGCTCCTGATTCATCCTCTTTATTTGTCCTGGTAAATTTATCACTGAAAGTGAAAGAAAATCCCAAATTTTGTGTGGTCACCAAAACAGCAATAAAGGCGAAATCTTCCAATGGGAACACTAGATGATCCTTGTGACCATAGTTCCCAACTTTCCCTGATTTCAAGGGACAGTCCCTCATTTGGAACAAATCCCCTCTGTCCCTCCATCCTCCTCATTTGTCCCTCATTTTGTTCTGATCAATATAGTTGTACATAAATTGCACTATTTATCTATCAAAAACTGTTTTACAGTGCTAAATCTTTCATCCAATTTCTAAATTGCTGCGTTTGGTGGGTAAGGCAGGGGGTGTGTCCTATGCTTACATACATTTGCTAATAGGTGTCCCTCATTCTCATCTCAGAAAGTTGGGAGGTATGCTGGTGACTATGTGGAATTTCCCTCACTTTGGAGGAATTTCCTCTTCCTGTTGTGGCTATGACAGGGATTGTGACACTTTTCTTACATTATCCAAACTGGAAAAAAAAAAAGTTTTGCCTTTGGTTCCACTGAAAGAAAAAAACTCCCCAACTAACTGAATAATGAATCTATGGCCTTACCAACATTGGGAACTATAGATCCTCCCCAACCAATCACAGTTGTTTTCCCCTAAGATAGCTAGTGGCCTCATAGGCAGGCCATAGACGGGCCATTTATCGGACGAATTTTCAGTCGATAAAAGAAAAATCAGTCGGCCCCGTTGCCGATGCTGCCACCCATGTCCACAAAAAATGGCCATTTTTTGCGGATTTTCCAGCATGACCGATAAAAATAAATGAGGAGATCTGTGAAAAATGGCCAACGGCTGGCCCCACTAATGGTGTGATTATCGGACAATTTTTTGTGCGAACGAAAATTTGGCCGATAAACGACCCGTCTATGGCCTGCAATAGGCAAAAGTAT